TGCAGGATTATAAAGTGAATGTCTAATTAATTTCAATTTCTGTCCAATTCTTGAAAAATAATTTATCTATAAAATAAATAATTAAACGTATAGTTTTTATTATTTTATTTATTTATTTATTTATTTTATTATTATTTTTTTTTTTTTTACATCTTTTTAAATATAAAATATCGATTTCGGCAGATTAATGTATTTATAATAGATAATTTAAAATTCCGTATATTGGACGTTACTTAAAGCAATAAATAATTCATATATGTCGTTGAATGTATAAATAAAAAATATAACCTATATTTCATAAAAATTTGATCGTCTAATTAATGGGAGAGAGAGAGAGAGAGAGAGAGAGAGAAATAATAAACTATTAATATATATCATTTCTTACATATGATAAACAAAATAATAATTATAAAAATCATAATACAGTCCTTGTGTGTCCTTGTACGGTAAAGGTAGTGACATTTAATCACCGGTCATAAAAAGAAATACAATGCATTAATAGCTCTCGAAAAAAGGTACACAAATAAATTTACATTTCCTGGATTTCAAAGCTCCTTGTCAGATTGCTCAGAGGCCAAAATAGTCTAACAAGAAGCTGATTCAGCGGTTCAATGTTAAAAACGACGGGTAAACCCTCGCTTACCCTCCACCTTCATTCCAATCCCGACCGCAAGTACAAGAACGAATGTGTGCCTCAACACACTCGTATACCCCCCCCCCCTTCTTGCCGTACCAACACATGCACGGTGTGTAAGCGAGGATTGTCGCTCTTTTGGCTGTGGCGTTTGGGCGAATGACTCACGAGTCTTGAAAGTCCTCTCGAATATTAATGGCCTCGCAAATAGACGACGCTTATTGCGCGGCGGCGGCGGCGGCGGTGGCGGCGGTGGCGATTCGACGCGCGACTCGCGACTTCTTCCAACTAATGCGCGTGCCCACCATACACGTAGGGGTGCCCAGCCAGACCCACGCAAAGCTGCCACGCACATACGTATTAATAAATGCATAGCCTTTTTGCCGAATGTACGCATGCCCTCCTGTTTTTAAAAGTTCTTACGAGCCCGTCTTTTCCTCTCTTTTTATTATTTGCTCCGAGTAGGATTTGGCGTTTGCCTCGATACGGATACACCCAAACCTTTATTAAATCGTAATACCTTTTTTCCATGAACTTTAACGGCTCGTTCATTCTCTAAAGCATTCTCTCTTTTTATTTACAATACCGAGCAGAGCGACATTAATGTTCGGTAATGTATTCGTCGAGCATTCGTTAGTGCTTTAAATATAAAAATTATTATCACGTGGTTGGGTAAAATGTCAAGCGTCGATGAAGAATTTTATAATTGAAACTAATAATCGAGCATACATTCGTAATACTTCATTTTAAAACTGTTCGTTCCAATTCGTAGTTTAATATTATTAATTTCAAGGTTGAAGAAGAAAAGATTTAATGAATGAAATAAAGATATTAATAATTAAATAAATAAATAAATAAAATAAAAAAACATTTTTTTTTTAATTAAAACCACATTTCTGCGATTATTACAATTCATTCTGACATATATAGAACATAGTTATCCCACTCTTAAGTTAAGTCTAAAGTATTACGAATTAAAAGAATAATATCAAAAGTTTTTAATCACCACCCTCGGTCACTTTAATGTTATGCTCGAATTTTTATGATTAGCATATTTAAGAATATTAAATATTACCTGGCTTATACTAGGCGAGTTTCATCGAATTTCATGTATCATGCATATGTCCTGCATATGTATGCATACATCTGTAATTACGAAAAACTTTTTTCGCCACATTAATTATTTGTATTTTATATACATATCGTTAGCAAAGATATTATTTAATAAGTAAATTTCATATGAACTGTAATGAAATAAATTAAATAATACATATTTCTATTAATTTGGTAAAAAAAAAAAAAAAAAAAAAAAAAAAAAAAAAAAAAAAAAAAAAAAATGAAAAATAAAGAAACGAAAAAATTGTCGTAAATGCAAAATTACACCTTCAATACTTCTAATTCATTATTTATACATTCCTTACTAAATATAAATCCAATCATTTTCAAAATAAGCTTATCAATTGGAACTTTTAATTCGTACTATTTATACTTTTGTATAAATAATAAATAAATTATTAAAAAAAAAAATTGTAAATAAAGATCTTGAACGCGTCTAATACTATTCCATTTAATATTAATATTAATATTTTGTAAATTATAACGATATGCTTCACGTTAGTTATTGAATTAAAAAAAATTTTTTGTTCAACAATTATATGCATTTCTTATGTAATTTTAAATCTTTCTATTTATTCAAGATTGTTCGTTAATTTAGAAGATTTTATCTATTCAACATAATTCATTGATTGATTATATGTGTATATATATATATATATATTATTTTATAGAATAAAAACATTTTTAATCATTATAGTAGTACCTACTCTGTAATATTCACTCAAAATACAAATCATAAATTACAATGTTTAACGTTTAATATTAATGCAAACAACTTTTAATGCATTATTTAAAAAAAAAAAAAAGAAGAAAAAAAACAAACTGATACAAGGCCTTTATTTAACTATAATTCTGCAATTTTATCTACATCTATTAGCGAATAAAGCTATATATTTATAAACAAATTCACTTAGATGAGCAAAACATTTATACCAATCTATTCTATAGTTTAAGAGCATAAACAAAGAATTATCGACTCCGATAATATTAGTTGTATTATTTCAATCTGTGCGTGCGCCGAATATAGCAATGCATACGACGCTTAATCCATTAATGCACGATAAACAATCGGAATATATGTAAGCCAATATATTATTAAAAGGAAATTATTATATAGACAATATAATTGGAAAAACTATTGGTAATCAGGCAAATAATCAGCTCGTTAATATGAAAATCGCAGTAAATTGTTCTGAATTCGTGCAAACGATCGCACAGGAGATGATTAAAATATCCAATTTAAATAATAATAATAAAAGCATTATACAGACATTAAATAATAGCATTAAAATGATTTATTGAATTAATGAAAATAATATACAGAATTATATGTTGTAGACATGATGTTTTGTTGAACATGATGTTTTATCAGAAATTGCAGAGTAATGTAATCTGATAGAACTAAAGGTTCAGTCGTCGCGTAAGCAATGTAAATTAGAGATTTATGCCAAAAAAGATGGACTGGGATAACCCTTTACACTGTAATAGACAGAGAGAATGAAATTGTATGCATGAAAATTGCATTTAAATAAAATGCAATTTAGAAAAAGGAAAAATTTTGAAAAAAATACACGCAAGATTTCAAGAAATTCATTCTTTTCATTTATATGGATTCTTTATGAAGAACAATTACAAATTGCCAACGCTAAAGGAAGCGTAATATTACTTACTCTCTTCTCGATTAATTATGTCGGTTCGGGAAAATGATTGGACGGTTAGAAGCCAATTGAGAAAATGTATTATTATGAATCAAGAATGTCCATTATTTTACAATAGATTAATGCGGAACTGTACAATCGACATTCTTTTGCAGCTAATTGAGTTTCACAAATAATGCTATAACTTAAAAAAGAACAAAAAGAAAAGAAGAAAAAACAAGTTTATGGAAATAACGAAGCTAAAATCCTCTCTCATGGTCAGTTATCTACTAAATCATTTATAAGAGAGCTTTATACAATCATTTGCATTAAAAATCCAACGGGATATGTACGAATAAAGTTTTACATTATTATAAACACATGTACAATTTTGTATATATAGAGTGAAATAAAATGAAAGGGAGAATCTGACATCTAGGCGAACAGACACAGACAAAAAGGCAGAGAGAACAAAGAAATATTACAATGATTAATATATAAATAAAATAATCTATTAATTTCTAGTGTCATGCATTATAAAAATAATTAAAATAGCAATAGTAATTATAAAAAAAAATTGTAAATATACACTTACTATCTAGTCAGAGCTCTTTGACACTTCAATATCATTATATCGATTTATATCAACAGCTAGTTACTTTTACGAATGCTACAACTTTTTCTTCGCAAATAATTTTCTCATCATTTTTCTTACTTCTTACTTTCAATGTCTATTTGCTTATGTAATCAAGCAGAGTGCAAGTTGTGCCATAAAAGTGGTAAGTATGGCACCGGTAAAATGTAATTTTAATGCTTCAGTTACCATGAATTGTTATATATGCAAAATGCGTGAGTGAATTTCGAAAATTATTAGACAATGAGAATCTATGAAGCATTTGCATAAAATATTGATTCTCTATGCGTTTTCTTAAAGAAAGTTTTTAAAATTTTTGTAAAGCAAACTGTAAAACATCATTATATAAAGAAATTTTCTAGAAAATGCTTGATATAATATTATACGTAAAATTATTCTTAATATTTGGTTTAGTTCATAATTAAAAAAAAAAACCCTACAAAAAAATTTATAATAAAATTTATTCATTTTTATATAATTCAATTAATGTATTATAAAATGAATTAATTCTCTTACGTACGAAACTTTACCTTCTCACTTGTTTTCGAGGTTTCTATTAAATATAATATTTTAATAATATCATAATAATATTTTTATAATATAATTCCAAGACGATATATTTTTATTTTCTTTTTTTTTCTTTTTTCAATCTCATTAGAAACGATCGATGATATATTCAATCTTATTTATTTCATAAACTGATGGGATATGAACTCTTGTATAAACGCTTGTAAGTAAGACTTAGTACAATAAAAATAAGAAAAGTAGTTCATATCATAGTTAACTAAATGTATGACAATTATAGACAAAAATTATTGACGTCACTTGATTTTTAATACTAAGATATTATCAAATATATATTATTCTAAATCGTGTTCGTATAAAGTATTATATAAATCTAATACATTAAAAAAGTATTGGGTATAGAATAATATTATTAGGAAATTTTTTAATCGATGATTAAATAGTATATAAGTACCTTAAGATTTCCAGAAAATCTTCACACAACTGGGGATGCTTCACTCCTGAAGAAAAAAGAATTGATTAATTTTTATCTATTTTTTTGAACCTCCAGGATCTATATGTGATTATTCAATAGAAGTAAAATAATATTTATTTTCCTAAACATAATGTAAAGTGTTTAATACTTTTAAAACTATATAATGTTAAATTATAGAAACAATAAACATCGTCTTTTTCGTTTAAATATTGTAAATTTTCATCGGTTTGACTCATATAAATTATTTAAATTCATTAAACTAATGTATTAAACAAAAAAACAAAAAAACAAAAAAAAAAACAAAATTAAAAAAAAAAAACTAGCTAGTAATGTTCTTTATATTATTATTATTATTATTATTATTATTAATATGTTATCCTATAACGTAAAATTTATATTTCAAAGTATTGTTTCATTTTCATAGAAAATTACAATATATTAAAATAATTATAATATATGTAATTAATAATATGCCTAATGGAGTGCAAATTTAATTCATTAATTAATAATATTTATTATTTTACGCAATATCAAGTATTTTTTTTTTTTTTTTTTTTTTTTTTTAAGAAATCTATATTAAACTTTTATCTATTGGTCATGTAAATATAATCATTTTAACACAAACGTATTTAAAATTTTTTTTTGAATTTCCAAATATTCTCTACTTATTATTTGGTACGCCTCAGAAAGCATAAATTTTTTTCTAAATTATTTACAACGTAATTTGTCGGAAAATAATTTATGTTACAACTATCATACATTATGTCCAGATTTAATCAGTGGCTGTAAAAATTACTTTTTGTATACAATTGTCGTTCATTGGATGACTCATAACAATGATTTATAAATTTATAAACGAATAGATGATACTACTTTGTTGTTATTGTACAACTAATTACGCGTCGATTATGTACAATAGGTTTTTCATTGACAAAAGAAGCTAATCATATTTGTATCGTTATACATATGTCCACATTATCAAAAAGATTTTACACGCTATAAGGGAATTTTTATATTGGAATATATAATCAGACATGAACTTTATAATAATAATAATGATGATGAAGCGAAGTCATAGACTTGGGTTGCTTGTAATATCGATGCCGGGACACATTGTAATAAAGGGAGAATAAGAACGAATGAGAATGTATGTTGAAAGTAAAATTAAAAGAATTTTCTATTAGCTTAAATCATCCACATTGAACAAATATTTTCTGAAATTTTTATTATAACTTTACTTAATAAGATTCTCATATTTTATCACAAAATTTAATGTAGGAACAGACGAAAAAGCACTTCTATGAAATTAATGTTTCGAAATTACTCATTCGTGTATAATGTTACATTCAACTTGTTTTCGATAAAAAATAATATTTAAAGCAATTTAATGTTCTAATTTTACACAGAGAAATTTTAAGAAATTAAAGATATGAAGGAGATAAAGGTGTAAGGAGAGTTTTTTATATTTCAGTTATTAAGGTAATTGTTATATGAATTATATACACATATAATTATTCAGCTAAATATTTTACATTTTCATTGAAATTTCGAATAATTTGCATAATATCAGTATAAGGGAGGTGCACTTTCAATATATATATATATATATGCTATATATGATATATTTAATAATATTAATCAACATCCTAACGTATACATTCATTCCATTTTTTATTTTGCAAAATACAATAAAATGTTATTGGAATTACAAATTAGCGTATAAAATATATTTTGATTTAAAGTAATTGAAAATGTAGTTGTAGATGATAATATAGTAGTAAAGTTTTGTATACATTAAAAAATTATTGTTATATACGGTATAGAGTACTATTATAATATAATTAGTTAGTAGTTTCATACATATTATGAAAGTGTAAAAATTTAATTAAACAGAGAGCTCGATAGCGTTAAATTTATTATGAAGCAACAAAATCGAAACCTATGCAATATGTCAATATTTTCGCGATCAGTTAGTAAAACGATAAGCCGCTAAATATCCAAAGTTTGTTTTCATTTTTCAAATCGCTGTAACGTTTAGAACCCTTCGGGTGGTCATGAAAGCCTGTTTAGATCCGTCGATATCTCGAGCTCACAAGAGTAGCACAAGGGGGTGGCACTTATTCAAGGTGTACCGTCTGCTTCGTCACGGATTACTGGTACACCAATGGAGACGATCAAGCACGGTATTCGCCATCACCCCATAGACAAGCGTATGTAAGCGTACGCTTGCCGAGTAAGAGAGGAGCCATGGGACTCGCGCAGTATTCGAACTGCTGGGAAAACATCAAAAGGCCTTAGTTGCTCCAACGAGCTCATATAATTTGCTTTTCGCTTCGGCGGATCTCAATAGTATCGGAAATCTAGGTCTCGTCTCGCAGTTTTGCTCGTTCATTTTTTCTCTGTCTAGAGGGCAGGAGGAAGACCGGAAAAAGGAGATGTAGACTGATAGACTGAGAGAGAAGAAGGACGAGGCGGGTAATATCCCGTTGATCCACAAAAGGCACAAAATTAGTTTCGCTTCGAAATTCGATTCTTTTCTAGACTATTCTCACTCTCTTCATCGTCGAAGCTCTATTCAGCCCCTTGTCTTGTCATTTCAGCTCTTAGTTATAAGTGCGCGTACATAGATATTTACCGCCAGCGATCCTTAATTCGTGCCTCATGCCTCATGCAAGCCAGACTTCAAACTCGAAGTATCGAAATTTTTTCATATAATACATAAAGGTTTTTTTTTTTCGTTACCTACGAGGTAGAATTAATTTGAGAAAAACGACAACGTACTTTTTATTAAAAAAAAAAAAAAAAAAAAAAAAAACATGTGTATACAGCGATTACACATTTCACGCACGCGCGCGCGGGCGCTGCGGTGTACACAAATACAAGCGCGTACACTGATATAGTTACGAATGACGGATTATGATACCCACAAATCATCGATATAATTGCCAATATGCTACTTACGTACAACCTAAATAAGCAACATTAATCCTTTATTATTATATACAATTATTATTTGCAACAATATTATAATTTTGTTCCCCCCCCCCCATGAATATTTACAGATTTAAAAATAATAATTATAACAATGGGCAAAATTAAAAAATTTGTACTATTTGAATATTCATTAAATTAATAATAATTAAATAGTACCGTTATTATATGCATACAGATTTCTATAAAAATTTATTAAACGTAAATAAATTCAATTATAAGATATAATATAATACGATAATTGCTTTTCAAGAATTTCAAAAATGAATTAATACATAAAGGGGTGCATTCTAATTAACGTTGAATTAATTAATTTCTATGTTTGATATTATTACACAAATATGGTAGAAAACTGTATTTTTCAATTTATTAAAAAATATGCACATAATTGAGAAAATTAAATAAGCAAGCTTATTACGACGGACGCATAAGAATCGTCTTCAGGCTTTAATAATATCGAGTATAGATTAGATAAATATTGTTTCTATTTCAATTAACAAAAAGTTTATTTAAAAAAAAAAAAAAAAAAAAAAAAAAAAAAAAAAAAAAAAAAAATTCGTTATATATGTACGTTATAAACTCAAAAATTGTATAATAATCAAGATACATATATATTAATATATATAATATCAATCAATATGAGTTTTATACAAGATATTTGTCTAAGGGGATATGTTATACTAAATTTCATTTAATATTATCGTAATAATTATATATATTTATTCATTTCCTTATTTTAATATAAACTAATGCATAGGAAAAAATGTTTTTCTCTAGTTTTAATTAATAATTTAGATATTCCTATTCGCAATTAATATTCTATATCATCAGACATTCGTAATTAATCATTTTATAAATAAAATAAATAAAATTCAGGAAATACGTCATAATTAATATTCAATAATGTAATTATATCTATAATAAATTAAATCTATAGTACATGACTCAAGCTTATTAATTCAACACACAATCGTCGAAATTTATCGAATAAAGTTGCAGACATGTAGGAAGAATTGGCAATATCAAATAAAAGTAAAATTTAAGCAAACCATTGAAAGAGTATTGAAACAAAAGAAAATCATAATGTTTTTGCTAAACAATAATTTGGCCAGATTCAATTTGGCCTAAATCAAATTTATTTATAAAATGTAATCCTGTCACTCTCCAAGTTGTTATATGAAAACAGTAAACGAAGACTCAAAGCCGATCATTTATATTCGGCTGCACTCGTTTATTTCAATACTAAACATATTCACATACTTTGAGTTTTCTAATTCATAGGGTAAACTGACAGATAAGACAATGAAAATCAGCAAATTTTGTTTCCAAGGTCATGTAATAAAAATAATCCACAGAGACTGAATGTTACAATATCATTCTAAATATAATCTATAAGATTTTTATATTAATAGTCCACAATCTCTTTCTTTGTATATTAATCAAAAGCTACGTCGATGCTTTATTTAAGTGGATATTTACATTAATAATGATACACACAACTTATAAATATAATGAATTAATAAATATCGATATTTATAAATCATAAAGGTATAGAAAAAATTTTTTTCGAATGCAATACTTGAATAATAAGCAGGATAGAATGTGGTAATTAATATGTAAAAATTGTAATATAAAAGTAGAAATATTTCTACGATTTGCATTTAATGACGAAAAAATATTATCTCTTATTGAAAATCTTCGATATAATGAAGCTCATAATTTCGAATCGAAGCTCATAATCTCGAAAAATTCTAACACATAATGGACAGAGGAATAAGCCGCGCTGGTGATCTAATGTTCATAAGTTAGACAATAAAGATAATTAAAATATAAAAACATAAAAATATTTGCTGTTTATGTTGATAAACGAATATTTAGTCACTTAAAGTTAATCCTTTGTTAATGAAAGTAATAATGAGAATGGAATGGAGGTATGTACGTGTAGAAAAATAATTCAAATCGAAGCAAAAAAAAAAAAAAAAAGAAAAAGAAAAAAAAAGATGAGTAATTTTTCTTGCAGGAAGGGAGAGAAGC